TTTCAGGTTCACATTTTTTATTCAAATGATCAAAACTATTGACCTGGATTTGGCGCCATAGTTTAAGAGGTACTAGAGGTCAAATGAAAAGAGCCAAATAACCCTTCAACTGTAAGGTCAAAGAATTACTGATGTAATCAAGTTGTAATTATGTGTGAGCAGCAGTATATTCTTTGTGTAGCCCACTTCTTACCAGCAGAGAGTTTTTGCACCAAACCTTTGAGGTGAGCTGAATATCTACCAGGGATATATGGATGTATAATGCTCTCATTTTGTAATGAGGAAGCTGAGCAGTGGGCCAATCTACGAAAAAACACAGTGTATTCCTTTGCAGGTTTGGGGACAGTATCAAGTTTTTTTTATATAAAGGGAATTTGCTTCTTGTGACAGATATAGAAACAAAAAAACCCGTCAAGAGCAGGGGGATGTACTGCAATGAGAAGAGTTTTCTTCTCAATAATTATTTTCAAATTGTAATGCAATATGAGATGCAGAAACTTAGTAAAAGTATACTTCTGTAGACCACAAGAGGAGGGGCAAAAATGCTCTTTTGCACATCCTTCCTGTCATGTTTTTATTTAGCATACGCTGCTGAAATCACCTTCACTGGAAAAGCAAGTTTAGTCATTCTCACTGAATGAGATTTTGTTGTCAAAGCTATAATGTTCCTCTTCATTTACTTCATACATTACTATTTATCAAGTTAAATAAATACTCAGTCCATCTGTTCTTGTTTAATTGCTACCATAAATATTTACAATTACCATATTATAATCAAGTTTAAATACAGTATTGTGAGTGCCCAGATTGCACTACCACTGTTTAATCAATGCTAGGAAGAGTTTTGTACAGTTCTATGTGAAACTACTTATCCATCAGGTTGAACTGTGAAATAATCCAGTTATTGAAGTATAAAAAGAGATGAATTCATTATTATTGTAGATTCAAAATACATCAGTCTAACTAACTCATTTTGAGTTAGGCCCTGATCACACCAAGGTGCGTCGCTAGAAACAGCAAAACCATTGTCTTCCTAGTGTGAGAAGGAAGGGGGAATGCATCTCATGTTGTGATAGTTGTATACAGTGTGTGAGGGAGCAAGTGAGGGATCGAGCGTGCACATTATCCATTTCCCGTTAATCACATATTATGGGTTTTGCGCGCAACCTCACTCCACAAGTGCACCACACTGTTTGGCCTGACCTGCTTTGTCCAGGCCATTTTAAAGCGGCTGCGCTTACGCATCCCGGTGTCAGCCCCTATTTTTTAATTAGTTGAAAACAGAAGAAATTGTGCATTCTTTCCTTCACAAGATGTATTTCGTTATCCCTGACAATCTTCCAAGTTACATCCACACAACAAACAATGATCTTGTTATATTTACTCTGTTCCAATGTATGGAAAGTAAGCTTTCAAGCTGCCTCCGAGCCTCCCGAGTAGGCTGCCCCTCTATCTCCTTCCTCTCCACACTCAAGCCATGGTAGATGGATAGAAAAGGCTAAATGCCCTGAGCTATCTTCCAGGCTCACAACCTAACTAACTGACTGAACATAACAAAGCCCTGTTGGTGAATGAGGTTCCAGTGGTAAAAATTTCCTATTCTGAAAGCATGGGTGTGTTGAGTGGTTTGAAACATATCTTCTCAAGCAACTCTTTCAGAAATCTGACATACCATCATTGTAAAACACCAGTTTTGCTCAATCTACTTAGTAAAATTGAGGTGACTATACTTGCAAATTAATTTGTTAATGTAAAAAAAATTACAAAAAGTTGCTTTCATTTTTTCAAGTAGATCAAGCAAGTGTATTCTTTGTATTGTGAATGTGATAAAGCATCAGCTCGATCAGCTTGTTAGCTAGCTAGTAGCATCTGACTGGCATGTGACAGCTAACTTTCAGTATCTGTGCAGTGCACTCAGCAGACTCTATTCTGCCTGTACTCAAGACTCAATACTTTATTGCCATATCAACATGATTGATTGGAATTTAGTGAGCTCACTTAAACACAGACAGAGACAGACATACAAGCCACTCAAGCATAAAGCACATATTACATGAAACAAAGTCCAAACCAGAACTATAGCATGCTGTAATACTAATTTAACCCAGAGTGGCTGTGTAACAAATTAATTTGTGGTAATTAGATTAAAACAAAAATGATTGAGCATGGCCTTAACTCTGATATCCCCAACAACTACAGACCCATCTCCAATCTCCCCTTTCTGTCTAAAATACTGGAACGCACTGTTGCCCACCAACTGAAAACCCACCTCAACTCAAACCAACTGTATGAACCATTTCAATCTGGATTCAGATCTCATCACAGCACAGAAACTGCCCTGATCAAAGTCACCAACGACCTCCTCCTCTCCTCTGATGAACACTCCCTCAACATCCTGATACTACTTGACCTCGTGCAGCCTTTGACATCATCAACCACTCCATCCTCCTTTTCTGTCTAGAGTCCTCCCTCCACATTACTGGCACAGCCCTCTCCTGGTTCAAATCATACCTCTCCGACCGTGAACAGTTCATTAGTATCAACAAATTCAAGTCTGACACAGCCCCAGTCTCTCAAGGTGTCCCCCAAGGTTCAGTACTCGATCCCCTCCTCTTCATCCTCTACCTGCTCCCCCTTGGCGACATCATACGCCACCATGGTCTCCATTTCCACTGCTATGTTGACAACACCCAGCTCTACATCTCCACCAAATCCATCACCCCACCACCCACTCCACCATCACCAACTGCCTCAAAGACATAAAGACCTGGATGCAAGCCAACTTCCTCAAACTCAACAGCGACAAATCTGGAATCCCGATCATCGGCCCGAAATCACTGAACAAATCACCAAACAAATCCCACCACAACTTCTCCCTCTGCATCGATGGCACAACTGTTCCTGCTTCCACACATGTCCGTAACCTTGGGATCATTTTTGATCAAACCCTCTCCTTTGAACGCCACGTCAATCACATCACAAAAAATGATTTAATCTCAAAATGAAATAACAGCCGCTAAAACAAAGGGGAAGAGAAAACAAAGGACAACAGTAAAATGATTACATATATTTGACTACTGCACTTACTTTAGTTGTGTACACATAGTTTTCATATGTAATGTGGTATTACTAGACATGTTGGGTAAATACATTTGGAGTTTTATCCTCCATATAAGGTCAAATATCGTATCCGTTGTTAACTGTTTACAACCTGTCTGATCGTCTGCTTAAGATATATTTTAAACAGCACTAATCATCTTATCTAATAAACCATCAGTGATGTCATTTAGCACCTTAAGGTGATACTCCACCCAAAATATATTTCGAGTATGACAGTTTACGCCACATGAAATGCGGTTGTAAAAAATGTAAAGAATGAAAAGTCTGATCGTCATGACGGAGTCACATGGTTGATTCGAGAGCTGTGATACGACCACAAGCCCTCCTTAACTTGACAACTGCTGCTATTTTGCACAAGCTTCACTTGGTACACTGTTTTATATATAAATTAAATTAAAGCTGTAAATGTTCCTTCTACATTATCTCTAGCAAGAAGGTTGGTTTTCAGGCTTCTTGTGGGATAGAAAAAGGGTTCTCTATAAAACGTGGTGGCAGATAAGCCTGGGGCCACAGAGCTACTGATTACTCTTTGGTGGTGATCCAGATCTGGGATTTCTGCCAAGCGTTTATCATTTGTTATCCATGAAATAAAAAGAGTTACAGAATTGGTTCCATATCTTTAGGGGGTGTATTTGCACGGTCAAGAAGTCAATCTAAACTGAAGTAATAGTGTAGAATGGGTGTTTGTTAGTTTAGCTTCCACTACAGCAGACAGCTGCTCTAAAGGGTGGTTTTGAAATGCTGTAGTATAAATGTTTATAAAATCTGAGTCAATCTGAATTACGTATATCTCTCCCACACTGTCTCCAATAGACACCAAACATCCACACTCATTGTTACGCATCAGAGTCGTTACTGCTACTACATATATAGTATATGTACAGATGCTCTGTGATGTTGTACTAGGCACCATGTTAAACTAAATGACTATGAAAATAACTTTGTTTCAGGTAATCAGACAGTTTAAGTCATACATCGCATCGAAAACGGCAATTCCAATTTTATGTTCCTAAAGGTATATATCATCATCATCAATCATTTAATTCATCTATTTATCATGAAAATATGTTTTATCAGTGTTTGTTTTTACATTCTAAAATATTTCTATTTTGACCCACACATGAAAAGCTGAACTGCGTAGACCCTGCGTTACCATTGGTCTATTAATATATTGTAAATAAAGGAAGTGACACAATGCATGGTAGATATTATCAATGCCACGTCAGTTGCAGTTCATTTGTATTCTGGTAGTGTGAGTCATTTTTGGCAATGTTGGCAAAGAGAGCAGATGTTTTGATGAATAAGTGAATGATGTTTCTGTGGCTTGCTACCCCTCACTTTAACACAATTTCCATATGTGTGACCTACATAGAGATGACCAGTACACCACAACATACATAAACACTCGATTGGGTAAAATGTGCATTTTTTGTTTAAAATTTCAGAGAAAGTGACAAAGTAGAAAGTGTGGTTTCTGTAGGTGCAGTTGGTATGCAGATGTATGGCAGACTGAGTGTAAGGGTGTTTGAGACCATGTCAGGGTGTCACAATGTGTATCCTTGTGTGTGTGTGAATCTCTGGGTGTGTGTGCACTGAGGTGTGAAAGGGGGTTGTGTGTATATGCTCATGGGATAACACAGTCATAAAGATGCTGTGTGTGTAGGAGTGTGTGGTGTGTAAGATCCTCCCCGTCTCTGGGTCTCTCTTCCTCATCAAATCTCCATTCACTCACACTGAGTGACATCACTGGAGTTTCCAGGAGGTAACTGGTTTTAAAAGAGACACTCGCTGAGCGACAGTAGAAGAAGAACGACAGCTCTCAATACAGCTTCGAAGAGCTCAGCTTTACTTGAAGTGATAAAGGGAATTCATTCAAAACAATGGAAGGTGAATGCAAGGTACTACTGGACGCCACTGTCCCCACAGAAGCCAGGAGAGAAACAATACGAGCCAAACCGAGCTCAAAGCAAACCACGGCCCTGCTGGTGTTCACACTCTGCCTTGCGGCTGCTGCTGCTGCTGTCCTCTTCTTCAACAGGCATGCCAAGGTGGGAACACAAGTCTTACATTAGTCTGTGAATTATCGGAGGGACTCACCTGAACATCCTGTAACAGTCTCTTTATCTTTCTCTTCTTGAACAGAGCCCAGGACACGATGAAGACCAATCTGGTGAGAATCTTTCCTTTAATTGACTTAATTTGACCCTTGTTGAGACACTTATTGCTTAGTAAGTGAAAAGTAGAGCTGTTGTGGTATTCCACATATTATAAACTTCTTTCTTATCTTCTTTCCAGATCTTCAACGCACATTGAGGCAGATTTCAAATGTGAGAGCGGCCATTCATTTAGAAGGTAAATATAAGCAATCGATTCAGTATAAAAGAATACCTGGGGCTGTTTGATACATATAACAAGAGCCATGTGAGAAAATTGATCGCAGAGGTATTTTCAATTATTTGGGGCTTTTAGTCTTAACTTTTGGTTTTCTCAGTCCAGTAGGTCTGAAACCAAAGGTTTTTGAGGGGGTTAGAGTTAGTAATCCTTCAGGAAGTTCTAAGGCTGCTCGATTGAGCTCCAGGGCTTCTTTGGGAAGTTCTTGGGGTTACCTCTTATTTATTTATTCCTGAGTCATGTCAAAGACAAACTTCCACTTCATTATGAAGGATAGTAACATTCTTTTCAATCCTCCCTGTCCTTGTTTTCTCCATAATCATCTCTCGATCCCCTTCAACAGGACAATACAACTCTACTATGAAGACCTCGGCGGAATGGAAGAATGCGGTGGACCAGTCCCACTCTCAAGGAGGGCTGAAACTCAACAACAACCAAATTGTGATTCCTCAAAATGGCCTCTACTTCGTTTACAGCCAAGTGTCGTTCCGGGTCAAGTGCAGCAGCAGCGATACTGATGATGCCACCTTGCAGCCCATTGTCCACGTGAGTCACACTGTGAAGCGCTGGTCCAGTTCAATAGGGACTGTGGAACGGACCATCCTGCACTCCATCCGCAGTGTCTGCCAAACGAAAGCCAGCAGCAATCCAGATGAGGAGGGGAGCTGGTTCTCCTCTGTGTACATGGGAGCTGTGTTCAACCTGAGGATGGGGGACAGACTAAGGACGGTGATGGAAGAGAAGATGCTGCCGGGCCTGGAGGAGGAGTCGGGGAAGACATTCTTTGGTGTGTTTGCGTTGTCAGGACAGCTGACTGACATCTAGAGGGCTCCACTGTGAGGCCTATAGCCAGTCTCTGCAACTTTCAGAAGAGACTTCACACCCAAACCTTTAGCAAGTCATTTAAAGTGTTCAAGTAAACCAAGCTCAGTTAACTGTAGCAATGGACAAGGAGATCACTGTAATGTATTACCATAGATATCTCTATGGGTCTATAATGTTATGTACTATGTACTCGCCTTAGTGTCGATACCTTTTGATATACTCTATATTTCTACAGATGTATTACAACTACTGCGTATTTATTGTGTTACTACAGGCTGACAGAAGATTTTAAAGGATGTATTTATTCAACATAACATTGATATTTATTTTATTTATGTATTTATTTATATTTTCAGTATTTGGGCTGGATTTTATACATAATTTATTTTATTTATTGATTATTATTGATTATTGATCAGCTGTTTGTCACTGTATTTTTTATTGATATTTTCAAATAATGCCATGGTGCCTGTGGTGCTGTATAAATGTTTGAATAAAAATGTTTTTGAAAAGGAAAGTATGAATGCAAGGTTTGTGGTTTGTGTTAGAACTACAATGTTGAACTAAGAAATGTAAAAAACAAAAACAAACCAACAATTAGTTGAATGCAGGGGTTGTCGACTGTTGGAAGAAAATATCAAATGCCGGTTGGGAGGAAGTTGCAGCATTATGGTTAAATTGTAAACCGCAGGGCAATAGAACCACAGTGTTCTATGGCCTCTGTGCACTGTGAAAGAGGCTGTAACACGTTTCCTTAAAACATAAAATAAATCTAGTAAATAAAGCACAGAGAAGCTCAGATAAAATCAGAGAGAGAGAGAGAGCTACTTCATTCTCTGCTCAGGTAGACATTACTACACTATATCTTTACACAGACAATAGTTGTTTGGTCGTATATTGATGCTCAGAATATCAAATTCAGCACCTTTAAACACTTGGTAGCGCAGACAGGTTGCTCTTCTGCAGCTTTTGTCAACATGTACAATGGTTTCTAACAATATCCCAGTTCCACAGCCTAGAAAAAGGTACCACAGAATACATAAAACCCTCTTAAACCTCCCCTTGAGCATAATCAGTGTCTCTGCTGATGTCCACCCCAATGCTCAGTGTGTTCTGAAAACATTTTTGTCAACATTTTGTATGGCCAAATACACTTCTGTTTGTTGCCAGTTGCCTTGGTATTACATAAGATACCATGACTTGCCGTTGCTGGCTCTGTATTTAACTTTACAGTGTAGCGAGAGAGTTTCCAGGGGAGTAAAAGTTCCTCAACAGCTACACTGAGTGGAAGTGAGGAGGGGAAGTCCCTGGTAATCATGGTAATCCCCCTACTTCCTCCTCCAGCAGCCTACAGAGCGACACCTGACACCAGCGGTGGAAAGGTGGACAGCGGGGTTGGTTAGCACAGTGGGGACACCGCCTTTTTAGCAAGTTTCGGTGATTCACCATGTTCAAACTCAGCAGACCCTCTTCACTTTCAAACTAAAAGTGGGAACCTTCTGACTATTCTCACTATACTCATATTTTATTCACAGTTTTGAAATCTACAGTGTGCAAGTATGTTTGGCTCTTTTTTATGTTCCTTCTACGATACTGTTTTTAGATATGCCACATACAAAAAAAATGATTAAATTATTTTCTGGCCCATCAGTTGATGCTAGAGTTAGCTGTATGACTTTTTGTTGGTAGTGAGCTCACGAATCCAAAGTGTGTCTGCTTCACCTGGGGCACCTGGGACACTGTTGTTTACAGTTCCTTGTTACAAAGAGCAGTTAAAAACAAGACAAAGGCTTGTCCTAACAGAAAAGGACCCACTGTGATGTCACTGAGTGAATCAAGTTGTAGCCAGTCAGAAACCATTGTTTGCTAAATCTCATATCTCAGTAATTTATGAAAATATAATAATATTCTATCTATTTTTTCTCAAAGAAATCTGTGAACAAGAGACATTGTAATTATAAGGTGTTCAAATTTAGATTGTAATATTTCTAATTTTATATTTTATCAGAGAAAGATGTCTGAAACATTTCTACCCACTGTCCCAACTTTCCCTTCCCACTGTGCCCCTTCCAACTGTCCCAACCGTCCCCCTAGCCAGTGTGGTGAGAGGTAGACGGGAGGTTGTTTAAAGTTACGTTGACAGCCAATAGTTAGAGCACAACAACGCCACCTTAGGAATTGCGCCTAAGGATTCACTTTTCCCACACAGTATCAGGATTCAGAGGACACTTCAGGTTCATTGTACAGATTGGCATGAGACGTGGTTCCAATCCAAAAATAATCTTTATTACTGTATATCACAATACTAATTCACCGTTACGGTTTACACAAAAAAATACTAAAAGAGCCGTTATACATTTATTTAAAAGAGGACTGCGGCTTACCAGTGGCGAGGTGGACCAGTGCAGGTGAGGATCCCAACAGAGGAGGCACCCCGATCACACGTGTACACAACACTCACACAACCACACGTGAGGGTTCCTAACCAGGGGCACACCAAACTACACAGCACACGAAGGGAGACACCAACACCCGGAGGCACCAACCCCACCACCTTGGCTTGGCAGGTCCTACAGGGACAAAGGACACAATTACAAAAAGGCTCTGGTTCTCAGAAAAGAAAATCAAACAAAAGAAAATCAAACAAAAGGAAAAAAATAAAAGACAAAACAACAAAAATAGCTCAGGTTAACTGATCAGCCAGGGGAGGGGGGGGTGATCAGTAACCCAATTTATATAAACTAAAGGCCAGAGTGGGCCTTAACATCCCTGGTCAGAATACACATGGCTCAAGGATGGCTCAAGGTAAAAAGAGGTTGTTCTCATTAAAAACAAGGGTGCTGCTGACAGCAAACAGCACAAGATAGGGGCACAGTGCTGACAATAGCAGCGTCAGACCCTGTAGGCCACACAGCGCAGGTCCGGGTAGACGAACCCAGTAGGCCAAAGCCGTTAGTTGAACACGCCTGTAGGCAAAACACCGGTAAACAAAACAGCAGCGTCCTTGAACGTAAGCCGAGTTAGATGTAGCCGCTTTCTGGCGGCGTTCCGCTCGAACCCAACCAAAAGTCCCCTGTGATACGGGATGACATAGAATTAATAGAATAATTATTAACACCAAAGTATATAAACTAACAGAATAAAATCACCTTACCGATCAGGCAATATGCGTCGGCTCCAGAAGGGGGGAGGAGGGTAGCTATATAAGCAAGACGCGGTTACTAACAGAACACCAGAGTACAATCAAATCAAGACCTAATTGAGACTCACCGACAGATTCGCAGGTGAGTCACCTGTACAGGACGAGGGGAGCCCCAGAGATAGTCTCCAAAATAATGAAAGCCAATATAACACAGAACAGTGTGACCGGGAGAAACAATGCTGCTGCATTCTTGCATACCTGCACAGCGGCAGATGTCCGGCAGACCGGAAGTGGGACAGGCGTTTGACGTCAGAAGGGAGCCAAGGCAATCCCCGTCGCATTTATATGATGCTCGCCCACCGTGATTGGCTAGTGTTGGCCTTGTAATTAAAAGGGACACCGAGGCCCTGCGAATGGTAAAAGCTCCCTTCTGCTACACCAGTGTCCAAACTGTCCCTACCACTGTCCCAACCAACCCTACCAATCGGCCCTACCCACTATGACTTTACCAACTGTCCCAATGATCCCCATATAGTCTCCCAACCAACCCTATCCACTGTCCCAGCTGTCCCTACCCACTGTCCCTACCAAACCTACCAACCAACCCTACCCACTGTGACCCTAGCATCTGTCCCAACTGTCCATACACACTGTCCCAACCAGTATGAAGGCAAATCACTGCCAAAATCCGAGACCGCAAATGAGATACACGCGCGCGTGTATAGAGGTCCCGTGCGTGCAACTCAAACAGCTGCCAGGTATATTACTTTGGTGAGCGCTTTTACATCACTCCGCGGAGAAAACCATGCTTTGAGGGTGAGGAGCGTCCCCTAGCGCGCGACTAATATCACTGCTCTTCTGCTTGTGAAACTTTAACCTGCTCATGTTACCGGCACCAGACCTAGGGGAAATCTGGACCGGCAGCAAAGGTTACACAGGCTAGGAAGCACTGTGTAGCCAATAGATCTAACTGTGGATTAATACACAGAGAGGACCAACGTTAGCGTCATGCTCAGGCCAGAGCTAGTTTTATTCTGAACTGCATTGCAGATCATAACATTTCACAATTTACACAACATGGTGTGAACAAATTCAAATTAATTCAAATATATTTCACATCCAGTTCTACTAACATTTAACAACTACGGTGTAACACTGAAGTTCACGGACAGAACTAGCTTGGTAGCATTACAACGTTCGTCAGAACAATTAGTGACAAAATATAGCTAACTACATTTATCACACATCTCCAATCATGTTAAAGCATTACTGAATATTTAACTGCATTTACATTTCATCATAACCCAAGTTAAGGACAGAAAAACAAGTTTTGCATACATGTGGATTAATACAGAGAGAGGACCAACGTTAGCATCATGCTCAGGGCAGAGCTAGTTTTATTCTGAGCTGCGCATGAGCGGAGCCTGTAGCTACGTTTTCTCTAATGCAGAGGTCTTCAACAGGGGGTCCGCGGAGGTACTACAGGGGGTCTGCGAAATTTTTGGTTGATTAGACAATTTAAAAATAAAAATAGAAATTAAATTTATTTTTCCTCTAAACATGAATCTGTCCATTATTTTAATAGTTCAGTATTGTATGAAAGATAACAGGTATCTTTATGCATGGCAGTGGCACTAACATTTATGTTTAAAATAAAAACATCAATTTGAATAGCTTGTATGCATGATTATCATGCAATTAACAGACGATGTTGATGTTGGCATTGGTATCAGCTGACAAGGTGTGTTTATAAATGGCAGCGGCAGGGCCACCCTACTCACTGTACCTTGCACATGTTTAAAATAAAAACATGACTATATGAACCTGTGTATTATTTGAATAGCTTAGTATTGAATGCACAATAAAGAGGTATATACGGTAGGCCCATTTAATATAAAACACAATGTTATACAATATATATAGTCGGGGGTCCCTGCTCCATCTCTCTATCAGTTTGGGGGTCCTTGGCCTGAAAAACGTTGAAGACCCCTGCTCTAATGGATCCACAGCAGCACCAAAGCGCCATCTACTGACGTGATCGTGTATTACCTCAATATAAAGTTTGAAAGAGTGTTAGACCTGAGCCAGTCCTAACTATAAACCTGAGCCAGCTTTAACTATAAGCCTGAGCCAGCCCCAACTATAAACC